ATTAACAGCGTCTGTCCCGTAACGACAATAATTTTTGGAATTTCCGGCTAGGTCAAATTAGTCACACTACATTTTGGGGAGCAGAGAGATTGGGCGAGTAGTGCGTGAATATGACGCTTATTGTTTCCTGCTTAGAATGGCTCACTTGCTTATGTTTGTTCATAATGGTTGAACTTGAAAAGGAACTATACAGCCCCGACTTAAAAATGGCACTTATTTTTCTTGTTACGAAAGTGTTCCAAAAGGGTACAATGTTCAAATGAGTAACTGTTTAACTCTCACATGAGATGCTACGTCACGCAATAGTCAGCGACAAGCCTGGTGGCCTAAGTGTGCAGCCAACTTCTCCCCCCCCCCCCCCCCCCCCCCCCCTAAAGATGAAACGTTTTAACCTTACACAGGGGACGCCGTCACCCAATACGCACGGACAAGCCCGGGGGGCTAAGTGGGCAACCCACTTCTCCCCCCCCCCCCCCCGCTAAGTCAGGACCTGGGAGGCACACACCTATCCGAAATGTACGGGAGTAACTCCCCCGCCCAGGGCTTCACCTACATTCTCTGGAAAGATTTCGGTACACTATGAATGCGCCTTTCACGTTTTTCTTTTCTTTTTTTGCATTAGACATGTCAGATGACAATGACCTGCAAGAATTTCTTGACGAAATTCAGCTGATGAAGGCCGTGGGTGTGCATAGGAATATTGTTAGTATGGTCGGCTGCTGCACTGTGGAGGAACCCATGTTCTTGTTAGTTGAATATGCCCCTTACGGAGATCTTCTGCATTACCTCAGAAAACATAGGAAAAAGGTATTGATTTTTTTACTCATTTGATTAATAATTAGCTGAAATGGCGGTTTTGTACCTCGTAAATGACTAGCTGCATAGCCAGCATGGCGCCTATTTTAATTGAATTATCCAGTGATGGCATTGCCAAGATTATTCAACAACAAACAAAGAAAGAGAACAGTACACAATGAAACCTCTATTGAGCAGATCTCTACGAAGCGGTCGCTCTCTAATAAGCAGATGCATTGTGATCCTGCAGAAATCACAACAGGCCCACTTTACTTGTTTTTTTCATTTTTTTTTTTCACCTCCGTGTCCATTAAACAATCACCGAGCTGAATAACAGGACGATGGCTTGGCGCGATGGTAAATAATACATGTCTTCTTTCGTCAAACAGCTAATAACGTTATGTTTGGCAGAATTGCCTAAGTTGGTCTAACCTGGTTGGAAACCACAGCGGCGCACGTGTTACCTCTGAATTGCAGATAATCAGTCTAGTAATGTCTTATCGAGCTTCAGCATGAGTTTGTACATGTATAAATCGGTCTCACCTATAGTATTTTGCATTGTTTTTACTGCTGTGCTATCTACCTGAGACACATGCCGCGTTGCATTCTATTTTGGTTTTCACCATATTCCATGCTTAACTTTGCGGTAAAAACGCCCCTATTACGCGGTTTATGCAGTCACTTGGCTATTTGCTGAGAGTGACCGCTTCATAGATGTTTGACTGTAAAAAAATAGACCTAGTTTATACATTGAATCTATTCAGACTAATTTAATTAATATTTTAAATTCGACGATCAGTCGACGTAAAGTGCTGTTTAATTCGACCTGCTCGGGTAACGTGAAGACTGCTTATATAATGAAGTAGGCTTTTGTACTGTGAAATGTTTGAACCCAGGAGTCATTTCATAAGTAAGTTGAGTATGATCGTCCGGGTGAACGTAATCCTGATTAGAACTATTGTTGACAGTGGCTGACGTTTCGACAACCTGTGTGGTAGTCATATTCAGAGTTAAAGTGAGTTGTATCACGTCAATTGATGGTATTAGGTCGTGATGCTATTGTTCGTCTGTCAGTTAAGCCCTGATCTTATTGGCTATGAAGACTCGTAATGCCATTGGTGCGTTTCGATCCATCTATTATCACAGTTAAACAGTCCTTTATTGTTAGTCATATTCTCGGTTGTCCATTCATTCTCTCGTAGTTAGTTAAGCTTTTGTACGTTAAAAACACTTATAAAAGGAAAAACCACAGCAACAAACCAGTAAGGTCAGCCGGATCTAGAGGAGACCTGGATCAGTAATACCAAATTACGGCAGCAAGAGTAGCATAGATAGTAGCGGTTCTATCACAGCCTGTCCTGGCGATTCTGCTACAGTTTGTCCCGATCTGCCGAGCAACTCGAGGCTGATCGGGACAGGCTGCGAACAGAACCGCTACTATCTATACTATTGTGAACCAGCATTGTGGACAACAGTCAAAGAATCGAAATAAACAGTGACACGAGTGTAACAAAAATTACGCTAGACACTTGGCTCTGCGCGGTTCTGCAACAGCCTGTCCGGATCAGCCTCGAGTTGCTTGGCAGATAGGGACAGGTTGTAAACATAACTGCTACTATTTATATACTACTCTTGTGAACCGGCATTGTGGACAGCGGTCAAAATTCAAATCAAAATAAACAGTGACCCGAGTGTAACAGAAATTCAAACTGCGGCCCGGGTGTAGCAGAATTTCGCATCCGCTGGGGTGCACGGATAGAGAGCAGCCGGGCGCTCAAACGAGCAAGCATCAGTGAACAAAAGACAGCGGGAAAATATGGACGGCACACCCCATTTTCGGCACACCAGCCGGAGTTGGCTGTTTTGTCTTTTTGGCCAAGCGTGGAACCCAATTAGAGATATGCAACGTCACAGTATCTATACACGATGGCCGCCGAAAGCTTCTCGAACGACGTTCTGCAGATGTTTTACGGCCCCATCAACGAGGGAAATCTTCCTCATCCACTTGAATTGGAAAGAATCTATTTTTGTAGGGACGAAAAGAATTCGGAGGACGGTTGCATGTGTGGAAAATAGATGTACCTAGAACTGACAATAAGGACAATTTTCGTTTTGCAGAAAGAAACGAAAAAAGTTTGCGGATGTTGTAATAATAGAAACGCAATCGATGAGCATGATGAGCATTTTCGGTGAAAATGTCGAAAAAGAATTAAAAAAGGGAAGACGGAATACTTGTTAATCAATATTACAAAAATGAACCAAACGTGTTCCCGAAATTCGAATGAGAGGGAATCAAAGAAAACTTTGAGGAGTTCATAAAGGAAGTCAAGACAAAAATTGACGCTAGGGTCGAAAATGAGTCAGATGTAAGACTTGAAAATCAAGTTGAAAAGTCCTATTTAAACGTGTCAAGATATAATCCACTTGTTGCTCGAAAATACATGCCACTTCTTAAAAAGTTGCAAGACGAAATAGCAATGATAAATGTGCAAAACAGAAGAGCCGATAATGAGTGTCTGAAATGGTCACTTCAAAAGGCGTTCTTTCCCGCGCCGAAAGGACGAAATCCACTGAGAACGACGATCGATTATGCAGGAATTTTGTTTCCCAACGCCGATGAAAGATCTTGACAAGATCGGAGTGCAAAATGAAAACATTGCGATAAATGTTTTTGGTTGGCAAAGCGACAAAGCGACTGTGTACAAAATAAGCGAAAAAGGAACTCGTGTGCAACCAATTAATCTCATGATGACCGGCTCTAGAGAAATTTGGCATCATTCTTATGTGAAAAGTGAAAAGAGTAAACACTTTGTTGCACGGCCAAAAAAAATTTCAGGGAAGAAAACATTACTGTTTGCAGTGCTTGTCAATATTTGCGACTGACGAAATTTTGGAAAGGCATGAAGAGGTTTGCAGAGGCATTGACAGCAAGCCAACGAGAACAGATATGCCAAAAGAAGGTGGTTTTGTGGAAAAAATGCAGTGTTCTGAAAAAAATAATCAAGAGAGCTACACAGGAAAAACAAGCCGCCACGTTGCATGTGGATATGCGTAGAAGGTGTGGAGCGATGGTGAAGCATCAGATACGAAATTCTACCGAAGCGAAGATGCCGTGGAAGAGTTTTTGAAGGCGATTTTGCAATCAGAGAAGATCTAAGAACAGTCGTACTCCTTGTAATGCGGGAAAAGATTAGATTGATTTCAACAAGGCCACCCACTGTCATATTTGTAAGAAATCGTTGGTGAAAGAATCATTTTTGGATCCTTCTCTTTTTGTGAGAGAGATGGGGGCAGTTATTGCGGGAAGGCGCACAAAAAAATGTCATTACAAGGAAAATTCATTGGGCCAAGAAACAAGCCTTAACCATTGGATGAAGTAGACAAATGGATAAAAACAGCCAAGAAGATTGTTGTACTATTTGGAGCCTTTGAAATTGAGAAACTATAGAGACGCTACGAAAGATCACTGCCACTTGCCAGGAAAATACCGTAAAACGGCGCACAACGCTTGCAACATAAATTTGCGGATAAGGCCTGAGCAAGACCCACTTCCAGTCGTTTTCCACAACCCCAAGGGAAACGATGCAATTCTTTTGTTTCAGGCAATGGCGAAAGTAGAAGGCATAAAGATAAAGTGTATACATGGATGGGTGGAAGCGCTTTAGCGAAACAAAACTGCAGCACAAAAGAATGTTCTACAGCTCGCTGAGTGACGAGCACATAATGCAAAAAAAAGTGTGGAAAGTGTTTGAGTGCAAACATTTTGGGGATTATCATGATCTGTACCTCAAAACAGGTGATTGCTTCTTAGCGGATGTTTTGGAGAACTTTAGAAGCATATTCTTGGAACAGTGCGGGATGGATCCAGATCATTACTAGACATGACCGGACCTGTCTTGTGATAGCCTGTTGAAAAAGACAGGAGTGCAGATGGAACCGCTGACAGAAGTGGGCATGTATTTGTTCATCGAAGAAGGAACGCGCGGTGGGATATCAATGGTGTGCAAGCAGTATGCAAAAGCCAACAATCCGCATGTAAAAGATTACGGCCCAAGCAAGCCAAACAATTACATCCAATATCTTGACGCGAATAACCTCTACGATTGCGCTATGAGTAAACCTCTGCCGAAGAGGAAGTTTGCATAGATGACTGTGATACCCACAGAAGAGCAAATACTTGCCGAAAGGGAAAAAGCAAAGCGAGGATGGATTCTTGTGTGACTCTCGATTATCCGGTGGAGTTGCATAGAGCCCATAATGGTTATCCACTGAAACCCCCGAAAAAAAGGAAATGGAGAAAGAATAGATGTCAGGTTATCAAAAAAAGATGGCGGATGAGTTTGGGCTAAAAAAGAGTGAAACCAAACTGGTATTGACGCTGTAGGATAAGAAAAACTATTTTGTTCATCACAGACATTTGCAGTTTTACCTCAAGCTTGGAATGAAACTCAAGAAGGTACAAAGGACGTTGGAGTTCGTCCAAGAATGCTAGATGGAGCCCTACATACGGATGAACAAAGAACTCAGGAATCACGCAACAAATGAATAAGAAAAGACCTTTTACAAACTCATAAACAACTCTGTGTTTGGGAAAATGCTGGAGAACATGCGGAAGCGTGTACACATAAAAATTAATGAGTCCGCAGTGATGACAGTGAAAAGATTCGAAAATTGATCGTAAGTACCTTTTTCGCTGGGTTCACGAAGTTTTCCAACAACCTTGCAGGATTCAGCATGCCCAAGGAAAGTGTGAGGCTGAACAAGCTCGTTTATGCAGCGATGACGATTCTTGATGATGGCAAAACCCTGATATATGATTTTACTACAACACGCTCAAAAAGCAGTACGGTGCTAAATGTGAACTCATATACACAGAAAGACTTTTGTTGGAGATTCAAACGGACGTTGTCGACAATGATATGGAAGACAAAAAGTATTTGTACGATACCAGCGATTATCCCAAAGATTAACCGCTTTACAGCAGCGCGAACAATGACGAGTGTAAATGTAGAACTAATATACTCCCTTGGAGGCTACATGTCACAACCAAATCAGCGTGTAAGTAAAAGAACCTGGCAAATTCCAGGGGCACCCAACAGGAAATTTTGAGAAAAAGACCTAAAAACAACAACAAAGCGTGACTAAAGTTTTCTGAGACTATTTTAAGCATTTTGGGAGATTGCTGGAAAAGAATTATCTGTTCCTCACTCCCAGCAAGACTGATGGAAGAGCTCCCAGCCAGCAACCTTACAACCTGCAACCTGACTTACTGGGAAGTTTCATAGGGCACAATTCAGATCCTGAATGGTAAGTAACCCATACAAGTAACCCGTAGCAGCTATTCTAGACTTCAAATCCCCTCTGACACCCTGAATTATCTTTTTCCCAGCAACACTTTCCTTCCAAGGACTATTATTTCTTTCACATCTCCCAGCCAGCAAAAATGTGCCTGAAGAACAGATATTTTGAGGAACAGATCCATTGGGTGCCCCTGAAATTCCACGCGGGCTTTATATGGGCACTAAAGCTGCATAGTAATTAGCTGTTAATGAGGTCTAAAGATTAAAATAAGAATGAAGAACCATTGTTGCATGGAGAACTGGGACTTTTCTTGGTGAAGGAACTTCCTGATCCGCCCTCGTACACAAAGACCAAATCAACAATTTTCACGAACATCTTAAGGTAATTCCCTTGTTTTGCACTGCGCACCCTCTACTGCGCATAACATTGCTACATCCAAGATGGCGGCGGTTCTTCCCACTAGCGCGAAAAGAACAAACAAGAGCCGCTTTTGCAGAGCTAAAGCTTTTATTCGCAATAATAATGCCGCAGATCGGCTGACAGCTTCCTGGTTTACCATCGAAAAACAAGAAAATGAAAGAAATGTGCGTGATCCCGAAGTCTGCAGTGGTTTTTCACTTCGCGGCCGTCGAGTTGTGGAATTATTAAAATGTCCTGGCTGAGGCTTTGGATTATGGGGGGCTGTGAGGCCTGTGG